GAAGTTCTTGTGCTGTCTGCACAAGAACTTGGAGGGAGCATGTGTTTATATGACAGTATCATCAGCACAAAGACGTACTTTTGCTGGAATATTAGAAAATAAAATAGGTCCCAATGGTCTAAATGTATTTGCATCAGAATTTTAGTGAAAGTCAAAACTGCATCTAATTCATATTTATCAGGTTAAGTATCCACTTAAATGTACATTATATTCATGAACGGTGCATCTCGTCTTTTTCACTTCAAGTTCGACCTTGAACTTGAACCCAGGCAGACGTTCATTTTCTCTTCATGCTTTAAGTTCTTAGACAGAATCAGAATTTGTTATAGGAACTCGCAGGGAGGTCTGTAATGTGACTGTAAATACAGATGACAGTCGGCACTGAGTCACAACACTTACACAGCTAATGAAAGCCAGAACTAGACTGAAGTGAAATATCACTCCAGGTAACATGACATTCGTGCAAGTCATTCTGTCACGGATTTGTTTTTCTGGCCATCTACGTGAAAGCTGACCTTTCATTTAATGAGCAAACCACCGAGGTCAGTTTGTCCTCTTTAAAATGTCCCTCCTCTCCTAGTTTCCACTCTACCCCTTTAAAATACTTCAATTTAATATCAGTCTGACATCCGCTGCCCAAAATCACTTAAGAAAGCCATCGAATGACCTTCTCTAAATTGCCAGATTTCAACATCAATTTATTTCATGAACTGACAGAGTCTGATTTAATTTACTCTGAGACATGAAGGAGGTGAGCAGGTCGGAGTACGTCCCGCTCCAAAGGAGAAGAGATCCCGACATACGGCCGCCTCGTCAAGGCCAGCTCAAGGTTACCTTCAAGCAGCAGGTGACTGTTTCCACTCATGCTTAAATCCACTGCTCGGTGTTTCCATTTAAAAAAAGATTTTTATTGAAAATAGAAATGTACAGAGGAAAAGGTCACTCTGCACATTTCATTCAGGATAGAGACTGAAGGCTGGCGCTTTTGTACATAATAACGACACGTGCAAGCACCCACAAACAACGGAGGTGATCAGTCTGTGTTATCATAGGGAGGCAGATGTGCAGCTGATCAAAAAAATAAAGGGATGCAGTTTGTTTCTCTAAGAAGCTGAAAACCTGAAGGTGCTTTATTTGTTGCAGCAGCGATTAAGCAAATGAAGCCATAAAAAAACTGAGTGACCCTTCCTGCAAATCACCCCCGATGCTTGATTGGCTTTAAATAACTAAACTGTCAACAGAGAGGCATCTAATTCTCTTTTTCCTGCTCCAGCACACCTTTAGGATCACAAATAACTGTATAACTGCATCTGAAACCAAATATAAATAAATTTCCCTCAAGAAGACTTCATGACAAACTGTGCACATGTTCCAGTTTAAGGATGATTAGCTTCTCCTTTTGTAAAAATAAACACATCGATATGTGTGGACAGAGGACAGCCGTCCCCAAAGCTTCCTATAAGATTCTGCTGTTCCAACGACCTCCCACCTGGTAGAAAACCAATACGGCAGACATGTCGGCGGCTGTTTCGATGCCTGTCAATCACTGTGAGTGACTGATTGGCATTCCCTGCTGGTTTGTGCGTTGGCATTCTCTAAATGCAGCACTGACCCGTTTGATTAATCGTTCCTGCTCGAGCGGTCAATAGAAGCAGACGATGTGCCGCAGGACTGAGGAGCACGTGATGTTCAGCTCGTGCACTTTAAGTCTGTTCCAGCGATTCAGGCTCAGATACGGTGTGATTGTTCATGGGTAACGCACAGCAACATTGCTGGAGGTTCTGAGCTCATTTCCATACAGAAATCAAGAAATTAAAGGGAAATATATTTTTGTTATTGGGGTTAAATGATGGAGTGATGCTGATAGAAGAATAAAAATACAAGTATTTTTTGAGGGTTATATGTGAGAATATTGTTTATCAGTTTGTTGGCATTTTCTTTTCTGCTATTTAATATTAAGAACATACCCCGGGCATAAATCTCTTTGCTTGAATCCAAAATTTACAGCTCACTTCATGCAGTTTGTCCTAAAATGTGCTGCAAGAAATTATGAATGAGCTTTCAGCAGTAGCTCAGCATCTCTATGAGATTACTGTGATGACAGAATACGAACCCTAAATGATTGTGATAAACCTGTAACTCAAGAGACAGAATAACAGATTGAAATGTCAGCCTTACTGTGGACATTTACAGTATGTTGTACTTTTACTACATGAGCTATTTAAACTGCTACCTTTAAACTGCAGTTTCTCAAACGTCCAGCTGGGGCTCCAGCAGTGACTCAGTTCCATACATCTCTAATTCCTTCATAACAACTATGCAGACACCATACATATACAAACAATAACTTACTAGTTTACATTATTTTTAAGGTTTGATTGACAGCTGTAGCCAATGAATAGGCTCTTTGACTCTGCTCTAGTATAAGTGAAGCATGACTTTATTACTAATGATAATGTTAATTAATAGGTATTTGTTCATGCGCTGCACCTGCACAGTTTATTGAAGCAATGAGATAACGAGCGTTGGTTGATAATGTAGCACTGCACTATCTCATCCACAGTAGCAGTTCAATTAATGTGAATAATCTGAAGCTGCTCTGGATGAAGTATAGACTAATAGTATCATTTATTATATTAAATATATCTTTTGTTGCATGAATTTGCTTTTTATGTAGGAAACTTGGACAGCAAATGTTCCTGTGCGCTTTAAACAGACTGTTTATACTTTTATTTAAAATGTGCTTATTGATTGAGTCTTTAATCCTTTTTTAAAAAAAAAAATTCTATCATAAATTTTGTGCCGACTGTCCACATTAATATCCGAGCTACGCTGTGTTTGTACTGACTGTCATTTCTAGAACCTTCCTAATATAAACAACGAATTGTTCATGAGATGAGGAATGACTGAATCTTAGATTGGACAAACCTTCACGGGTTTACAGTTGTAGCTGCTGTTGCCACTGATAAAGTAAAATAGTTTCTTCCAAAACATTTTAGTCCCAATTTTCTTAAAAACGGCAACTGATTAGATTTAAAAAAGGAGACTTTTTCAGGGAAAAAGGACATTATCTCGGATTTGAGCCTAATGCAAGATGAAACAGGTCGTTAGATGAATGTTTCCTGCAGGTCCAATCTAAATTTCTAGCTCTCCTCTGCTGCCTGTTTGATGAATACTACGAGTGTGGACAGAGCCAGTGAGTGAGCGAGATATGTGCAGGCATTAAATGTGTATTCATCAGGTCTGGCCCCAGCCATTGACGGGCTAATCAATGTTTAGTAATGAGGCTGAATGTGGAATGAGGTGTGGGGGGGGTTTGGGTCAGGATGGAGGAAAGAGATATCAATTAAGCAGGGAACTGCAGAGTCCAGGCGTGAGGAGCTGAGACGGCAATATCCCAACTCTGCTTCATTAACTAAACAGTGTGCACTGAATGCAAAACTCCTGCAGCCCCCTCCTACAAAAGCACCATGTCCCTCACGGTAAATGGCCGCCTTATTCACTGGAAAGTAGTCACTGCAGCAGGTAGAAAAACACTAGTGATACTCGACATAATGAAATCCAGGCGACGTGCAGGGAAATGAGATCCACGTGTGATGCAATAAAACGAAACGTGCAGGAACCTGCAGGCTGGGAACGCGCACAGGACCCAAACACGTTAGCAAATAATAGTGAGAGATAATATTATAATATGCATTCAGCGTAAATTGGAAGAAACAGCTGGTAACTATAAATAGGCTCCTTTTCAGTTTCCAACATGCTGCACAGAATCAGAAAGCCGGCTCGTTTAACTGTGACATTGGAAAGTAGAGTGCAGTTTGAAGCACTTCTTATGTTTTCCACCAGTTAAGGCGCTTCATACTTCTGCTCTGCACAACTGTCTGCAGAAACTACTGTATCATCTACAGGATTTGGAGAATGAATATGTAGTTGCATTGAATAAGACTTGAAACCAGCCGCTGAGACCATTTTTACTGAGCTCACAGAGCTCACAGAGCAGTAGACTCTCATAGACTTCTATACAATTGGACTCATCTTGGCAACCTAAAAAAAATCTGTGTTGGTCATCTGGTCAAGAATACTTCCAAAGCAGTAATTCAAATAATAATAATTATATAATGGAGGGTGAAGACTGATTTGAAGTTTTTCAGCCCCAGTAAAACGGTTCAATCTAAAAAAAAAACCCATCTGAGCATCGTCACCTCCATGTCATCAGCTGACAGAGTTTCATCATCTGCATCACCAAAACAATGGCTGCCACTTCCTGTTCTGGTCAGGTACATTTAGCAGGTTTGTGAAAGGGGGACAATGACAAACAGGGAGCCGGCCTGGAGATGACCTGGAGATCTACATGAAAAAATATGTTTGCATTGAATGGCTGACAAAGTACTGTCTGTGAATATGTTTTATCCCATCAACAGAAACAGTGTCCCTGCATTTTTCCTCTTTGGCTGTATTATGTACAAGGAGCTCGATTACTGGATGTCTGTTAATGAAAGAAGAAAACTCACAATAAGCGATTGTCTTATTGAACCAGTGAGACAAATGGGAATGTGGATTTCCAGGATACAAGGCTGCTCCAAGCCGTTTGAGGTATTCACAAACCTCACCATGTCCCCTCCACATACTGTCTGCTATGAGCAACACCTGCTTTAACATGACTGTCAGAGAGCACGTGACTCCGACAGGCTCCTTTCCCCAAACATGACCGCTGACACCATAAACACACATCGCCCGCTAGTGGTCGCTGTTTCCTCTTTTACCGTCCTGTCTGGATTCACTGCAACTTAATTCAACTTCCTTTACATGCTCACGAGCAATGAGACACGCAACCCGAACACAACTTTCATAAGTTTGCACATGAACGCCCCCCTCCCCCCGCCCAACAGTAGGGCTGCAAAGCAATAAAAATGCAAATGCATATTTTCCATTTTCTGAAAAGCAATGACACACACGTCGTTATTTTGCACTCATGAAGTCCATTTCATGCTTCTGCTTACCTGAAAAACACAACCGTTTGCCACAAATAGATCCCCAGCACGTTTAGTCGGCACATTTTTGCCAGTCTCATTTTGTTTAGAGGGGAGGGGGAGTGTGTGGAGGTGGTGGGAAGGGGAGGAGGGGGGTCACGCTCTGGAGAGGATGAAGTCCCCTCCAAAAAAAAAAAGACCAAAAAAAGCCTTTAGTGGAAGAAGAGAAGGAGGAAGATGAGGGTGAGAGGGGAGGGGGGGTCGCGGTTCTGGTTTATGACCTCCAAGGTGAACCGAAAATGTTCCACCTTTTGTGTGTGTGTGTGTGTGTGTGTCTCTGTGTGTGTGGGTTTCAGATCCCGGAGTCGCCGGTGCCGAGCCGCGGGATGCTCATGACCTCAGTCTCCATGAAATCATGCTGATGTCCGCTCTCACGCCTCCACGCAGGAGGGTTTTTTGGGGGGAACAATCCACTAAATCCGCCAGGAGACTGTGTTCAGGACCACGGACAGAGGCGGGCAGTGGGTACGGAGCTCGTCCGGGTTCTGGTTCGGGAGGGGAGGGAAAAGGGGGAAGAATAGGGGGGAGAGAAGGGGGTGGGTGGGGGTCTCGAGACGAGATCACGGGATCCTGTCAACTGAGCCACAGTTACATCCAATCACTCTAAAGTCCAGCGCGTGCGGTCCGCGGCGCCGACAGCGGGAACGAAACACATCCCCTCCGGTTCCTTCAGCAGTGGGTCTGCGGGAGGCTCACGTTCTCAGGAGGGCTCGAGAAGAGTGCACGTGCGCTTTATATTCCCCAAATCCAGCGCGAGGACAGAGCCGCAGCTTTCCTCACCCACATCCTACACACGTCCCGGACCCGCACGGGGCTGCTGCTCGGAGAGGAGGGTCTGCAGGTGGAGCAGGTGTGCCTCCTTTTCTCCCTCTCCTCCTCCTCCTGCTGCTCGGCGGCGGCTCCCCGGGGTGAGCAGTAGTAGTAGCGGTCTCTGCAGCAGCCCGGCTCGGCTGCTCCCATTGTCCGCTGCCGCTCAACTTGGAGACTCACCGGCGGCCGCCGCTGCGCTCCCGCCCCAGTACCAGCACCGGAACACCAGCTCCGCTAAACCGAGAGAAAGAACAAAAAGCAATCCCGTCGGAGTGTCGTTAACGTGCTCGCCGACTTGTGTGGACCCGTTCCATGGCGGAAGAGAGCGCGCACACACGTGCACGGAGGTGAAACACGGAGGCGGACACAGCCTCGTGCGCTCTGGTCTGCTTTCTTGCTGCAGTCATTTACCAAACTCCGAAAAAGCCCCTCACCGCGCACGGACACGCCCACAGCGTGCCCCATTGGGCTGCGCGGGGCTGAAGGACGCCGATGACTGGCTGGGGGAGGTGTCACTAGCTGGGTATGAGCTTCTGCCCCTCATACGTGGATCCCCTGAGGACATATCAGCAAACTTACTAAAGACTGAGCGTGCAGACCTTTAATATTTGTAAAAGTGATAAATCACGTGTCTGTGATCTGAGTTACTGGAAGGGAGAGGAGCCCTCACTAAAACACACCGAGCTGCTCCTGCTGAACTGAGGGAGGAGGCAAAAGCTCACACTGTCTGATTTCACAAATCAATGAAACAAATCCGTGAGCAGAAGAGATCAAAGTTTTAATCTGATTCATTTTTATGCTCTTATCATGATCGAAGGGCCTTCACAGTGCATCCGTTTCACTGTTTAAAAGGATTAACTTTCCTCTCCCCAACCAGCCGCGACAGATGGCCGCCCCTCCCCAAGCCTGGTTCTGCCAGAGGTTTTTTTCTGTTAAAAGAGAGTTTTTCCTTCCCACTGTCGCCAAAGTGTTTGCTCATTGGAGGTCATATGATTGTTGGGTTTTTCTCTGTATGTATTATTGCAGGGTCTACCTTACAATATAAACCTTGAGGTGACTATTGTTGTGATTTGGTGCTGTATAAATAAAATTGAATTGAATGGAGTCATGTCTGAATATGACTTATTAACACTTTGGTACCAAATACATGTCTTTGTTTAGTGTTTCTTTATTTGCCATAAGGTGCTGCAGCTTTGGTGAACTCCTCTTCACTCTTTTAGATGAAATTGATCCTGTGACGTGGCTTTGATGCAACTCGAGATGAAATTGGAGGGAATTTGAAGTTTGGAGGTGCATGAGGAGGCAACTGTGAAGGGGCATCGCGGGATCATCTTTTTTATGGGCTGACTGTAATATGTGTTACTTTTTTCTTTTTCTAAGGTGGTTATTCACTTATGTCTGTTTTCATTCAGATACCAGGAGGACCAAACAAAGATTTTGAGGCTTTGTAGACGATCCCCTTTATATGAAGCCTTGAGTAAGATGCCACCAAATCAGAATTTAATACCTATAAATGAGCTGCAGGGACTCTGCATCTTCAGATGCTAATGGAAAGCTTCCAAACGTAGCTTTCTTCCTGCCTCAGAGAAAACCGCAGTCAGAATGCACAACAAGTTTATTTTTAGAGGACTGCACGCAAGCCTGTCTGCCTGTATACACCAAATTCCTACACAAATGGGATGCAATGAATTCCACTTAGGGTTAGTAAATTACCAATTATTATTGTTGTTGTTGTTGTTGTTGTTGTTGTTGTTGTTGTTGTTGTTAGTAGTAGTAGTAGGATTATTATTATTCAACCACTCAAATACTGCTTGTAGCGAGTCTTCATTAGCAGCAGGTTGTTTACCACCTGTGATTTTTATGACATGGTGCATCTCATGGTATTGGCACTTTGTTTTACATAAGAATTATTATAAATTAGAGGCTTTTTCAGAATGATCTTATAATTTATCAGCAGAGAGAGTGCAAGCCTGCCTGGGTGGTCATACAGTCAGTAAGATACTCTGAAGTGTCTTTAATCTTGTGCAGTGTAATACTGTAATGTTGTCACTCCAAAAACGTATTCTGTGATTTTAGAGTAGCGCGCGCACACACACACACACACACACACACACACACACACACACACACACACACACACACACACACACACACACACACACAGTCTCTCTCTCTCGTACACATTTTGTCCGAAGTGTCCGCTGGAACGTGACTGTGATTCTAATGTCTGCAGGCACTGAAGGAATCACAAGGCTTAGCGATACTGTACAGAAGAAGCAGACACACACACACACACACACACACACACACACACACACACACACACACACACACACACACACACACACACACACACACACACACACACACAAGAATATGATGTCTTCATTAGTGTAAAGGGAAAATTGCTCAGTGTGCAGGGCTCCTACCTCAGGCTAATTTCTGACTAAATAAAGGAAACAGACAGATAGACAGATGTGTCGCACAGGTTGGAACACAGGACTTTGTACTAAATATGAGTATGAATGATGTATACAGCAAACAAAGCTCAGACTCACACTGAGTGTGCTGAGATGTGAAACATGAGTCTGACAGAATTATGCAGAGATTATAGCAAAGATCAGCTGGTTTTCATTTACTGCCAATTGTCTCATTATCAATGCAATGATTGTGGCAATATTTACTACTTGTTTTTGATGTTTTATTCTCGCCTTCAGTTGGTGTCACCTCATTTAGTCTGCACAGGGTCTTTTATTTTGAATTTTCTGTGTCTGACTTCCTGTTGATCTCATCTGTTCTGTGTCATGTGCCTTCTATAAAAACTGAAGCTATAGCAGTAATAATACTGCTGCTTTATATTAAGCAGAGAGGAGAGCTACTTGCGTGCACTCCTAAAATGTGCTGCGGCACATCAGGCGGAATCAAGTGTGGTCTTGACTGGAGGAGACCACAAATAGAATTTCTTTATGTAGGTTTGTTTGTTTTTATTGTCCATACTGTAGATTTTCTGCAGAACATCTTTGGGCTTCACTTCAGTACAGTTTTCCTTTTATAATTCAGCAGTATGTGGAATGCAAAGGAAGCATGATGAATATTTAAACCATTACACAGCCATTATAGCTCTTTATGTAAATGTGGAGTAAAGTGCTGTGGTGGTTATTTATAGTCACAGCAGGCTGTAATTGGCTCCTGTTCTTATTTGGAGTGTGTGGACCAACCCAGCTGACCCATCCCTGCAGAAGATGGCTCACAGCTGTGCTGCTGGAAGGTTGCAGGTTTAAATCCCTCACTGATGAACTCTTAATAAAGAGTTAATCAACTCTTCAAACATTAAACCTCAGGAGCCAAAGTCTCCCAGCACAGATCTTTGAGCAGTGTTTGCTCAGTCGCAGCCAAAATTTACAACTATTTCTGACTGGCTCAAGGAAATTTGATTTCACTTGCATTTGTGTTAAACTGAATATAAATGATTGTTCTTCTGTGCACAGCTGCTCCTGCAGTAGATCATGTTTTCCTCTCCTCTGATTTCCTCTGTCATGCCAGTCGCCTGATGGTTGTGTTTCACTACATCTTAAGTATTTACATACTTAGCGTGTTGTCATTCGTGGGTGTCAAGTACTGCTATTTCACCTGCTGCCTGCCTTTCACAGATAAGGCCAAGTTGTCCTTTGGTTGTGGCAGTAGTGAGATGGTTCTCACTTTGTAACCAGCGGCATAAAGAACCCTCTGGTGCCATGATTAAACACACCGTTGGCATAATTGTCCAGCATGCAGGGCTGATGTGCAGTAGACTGCAAAACCAACCACAAACAGGAGAGTAAAAAGTGAACCAAAAAAAGCAAAAAAGGTCCTAAAATTGACAGAAGACTAAAAAAAACTTGTGATATATATTCCAACACTGAAGCCCATCTTGTGTGTATCTCTGCAACAGCACTTCTGACAAAACAGCAGGATTTGATCCCCTGAGATAAGAACTCACCACTAGAACCGAGACATCCTTTAGTGCAACAGAAAACCTCCCAATTTAAAGAGACTGGATATAATTTGGCCTGTCAAACTTCAGCACCTGGTTAGAAGGAGCCGGTGTTCAGTGTTGGCAGGTGAAGTTACTGCAGGAAAAACAAGAAGTCTCCCGATTCAAAGGCCATAGCGGCAAAGGTTAACGGTTGAGTCGTATTTTTGAAGTCCAGGAGTTGTTCTGATTCACTGAGAAATGTGAAGAGTCTGACAGCAGCAGCCCAAGAACAGCTGTACTCTACAAGGTACAATATGCTATACTTTGATATTTGCTGATATTTGATATTTGCTGTGAGTTCACTGTGCTCTTTTACCATCCACAAAGGCCTTCATTTAGCACATTAACTGTTTCTGCTGCAAACTGAACAGGTGCACTGAGTGAGGCTGATGTTCAGCAGCAGGACGGATCAGTAGCTCCAGTTTCCCTCTAAAAGTTTTTAACAAAAGATAATCCAAGTAGAGCCCTTAGGTCTGCAGATAAGTTGCTTCTGACTATCCCCAGAAAAACAGGGGTGACCGAGCTTTTGCGATCGCTGCACCCAAACTCTGGAACAGTCTGCCCCTTCACATTAGGTCATTGCCAACACTCGACATTTTTAAAACCCAATTGAAAACACATTTGTACTCTTTAGCTTTCAATTATGACTAGTCTTTTATATAATTACTATGTATGTTTACTATTTTATCTCTACTATGTGCAGCACTTTGGCTCAACCCGTGTTGTTTTTAAATGTGCTTATAAATACATTTTGATTTTGATTGT